TAGTTAAGCATCGAAGGGTCGAAGTCTGATTGATCCAACTTTCGAAAAGTAGTACGCTTTGGGAACACTTGAGGTGTCCTTGCAATCGGCTTATCCCAACCAAGTGGTACGCCCTCTGCGAATGATTCCGACCCATGGTCCAAGATCTCGAAGTCAGGATCCCCCAGCACCTCAAGTGATTGCGATAGCAAGTGCAGCATGAAGGGCTGCCCTGTAGGAACCTCCATAGCAGCCGTGGGGTCAGGAAGCATCGCAGCAATCTGCGTGCGCACCTCTCGGATAGTTGATTCATCAAACGGGGACACCTTGAGACGGCCGGTGGCAAGCTCAAAGGCGGCAGCCCTGGGGTCCTTGATGGCTTTGTGCACTGTCTTATAGAGAAGCTCTCGGATTGCATCGGCATGCCCCCACTCGCGCGAAGTCGCCGTGGCATCACGAGCCAGCGGTCGCCACCTCCCAGGAGAGCACAAGCCGAATCCATCGATCAGCTCCCTCCACTCTCTAGTGTGTCTGCAGCGGATGGCAGGGCCGCGGCACCGGCTAGTCGCGGCATCGAAACCTTCCGCCTCCTCGTCTTGATCCTCTGAGCTCGGCACCTCGATCACCTGTGCAGGTTCACATGCCTGTGCAGTGCTTTCCTCAGCAGTTGCCCCTGGATTGACGGTCGCATGCGTGGGATGAGGTGCCTGAGGAGTGGTCCCTTCCTCAGGGGCGCTAGCAGGAGCCTCCTGGGTGGGCCCTCCAGAAGGGGTGCTAAGAACCCTCGGTGCCCCGGAGGTGGCAGCAGGCCGGGGGGTGTTAAAGCCAGGTTTGTCTAGGGTAGTGTCGGTCAAGTTGTCGCGGCCTTCCTCGCCCCCCTCCTTTAGTTGCCCGGAAGGCAAGACAAAGCCAAGGGTATGCAACAGCTGTTTCTGATCTGAAGACAAGTCTGATGTATGCAGGGTCGTGTAGCCTACCAACAAGACGCGGTCTCCGGTCCAAGGCTCGGTCTGATGAAAAACTTGGTGCGCCTGCAAAGTTTGCGGAGAATCAGCGACGGGCAACAGGCTGCCACGTCGCGGCACACCTTGCACCTGTCGCACCTCAGTGCCAGCGGAAGCTTCACACCAAACTTCACCATGCTGAAAGCACGTGAGAGCAAGCAACAAGTTGGGAAACGGTGCATTGCGGCTGTCCTTATGCATACGTGCAGCTACGTTATCGGAGATGGCCAACGAGCTAAAGACCATTCCTGGGAATGCATCGCGAAGCAATGCAGTGAAGCACCTGATTGACTGCGGAAATTGATGACAGCTCTGGCGAAGACCGTAGAAAGGGCCCTTGCAAAATGCACCTGCGAAGAAGGCCCGGCCTTGGCCGGGTTCGGTCCCCGCAGCCGCCACATGCGGCTGTTCAAAAGGTAATAGTCTACACAATGCCTCGCCCTCGTGCGGTACAAGCTGTCGGTTTTGATCAAGCAGCCAGTTTGCAAAGTCCTCGGCACCTTGGAAAGAATGATCGGTGGCCCGATCATCCTGCACTCGTTCAAATGCTAGCATGGCAAGTGCATCAAAGAACCGTGGAGGGAGCGATGACTTGGTTGTCCACTCTTGTTCTGCCCTCCCCACGCCTGAAACATGCACATGCCCGCACTTTCCCAAAGGGCCAAGGTACCAGCCTTCACCATCGAAGCTAGGGAGACCCATGTGATCAGGGCCGCTGTTCAAGTTAGAAAGCATTCTGGTCGGATGAGCCGAGGCAGCCCCGTAGGCGCACATGTGTTCAACCCAACTCTTGACATCTTCGTTGTTGTCCAAAATGGACTGCACTTCATCCCACTGCCAAATGCTAGCAGGAGTCTCACCCCCACGCATTTTGCCCAAGTCCTCAGGATGCACCAAGATCCACCCAACCTTGAGCTCGGAGAGGATTGGGATCAAATTAAAACACTTTGCAATAACGAAGTCCTCCTGGTCAACAGCTGCCCGGCGTTGCTTAGCAAGCCAAGGGAAGCCATGCAGAAAACCCCGAGCCCTGAGCGGCTTGGGTCCTCCGGTTTGTCCATCGTGCCGATGCCGGGCGCGGCTGTACGTGCC